GCACGAATTTATACATTTCATTCCAGGGATAAGGCAAAGCTCTGCCTTCCCAATCTCTAAAGCCCCCCTTTCTCGCTATCCCGATTGACAGTCAATCTGACCAATGAGAGCGCTGTGGGCAAGTGGGGCGGAAGTGGGCGGTGGCAGACACATGCGCACTGTCTTGGCTCGGGAGATGGGTTGCTGCAGTATTTTGGGCCGCGTCTTGGGTAGATTGGGGCGAAGGCCAGAGATCCGCGCAGCTTCCAAGGACGCAGGCTTTGGCACCGAGGCCCGGTGATTACACCGGCCCCCCATTTCGTGTGGGAGGGAGGGTAGGGCTCGGGGATGGTGTGTACGGGATCTGGAGCTGGGAAGATAGGGGTTCTAATCCTGGCTTTGCTTCGTGACCTTACACTAGTCTCCTGGCTTCTTCCAGCCTCGTTTTTCTCATCTGTAAAATGGGACCAGTCAAAACCTGAATTTTTCGGAGAGCTCAGCCCATGCTTTCTGAGGCATTTGTTAGGATTTGGGAGGAGGTGTGTGGAGATAAGAATGGGCAGCACCTCGGGAAAGGAATGATCTCCCTGTTGCTTGCGTCATCTTTTCCAGGCGTCAGCTGCAACCTCGAGGCTTCAGCAAACGGTCGACGCCGTTGGAGAACCAGCCCTTCCCAGGGCTGTTGCAGCCAGAGAACCTCAGTCGGGAACAGTTGGTTGATGTACTGAGGGCATCTGTGGTGGACCAGAAAGGTGAGGGTGAGAGGGACAGCTGCACAGAGACCCGGGAGAAGAGCCTGCCTCTCCAATCCTTCTAGGGGGCTGTTTGGACTCCCTACAAAAAGCCTTGGGGTCAAATCCTGGTTCTGCTTCCCATTCGTGGCTTGAACTGGGACAAGCCACATGATACCTCTGAGCCTAAGCATTATGGGGATAGGGGTGTGGGGTAGGAGTGGGTAAAGAACTAGAGAGTCTTGAACACAGTAGGCACTCCGTAATGGGAATTGCTATAATAAATTACTTATTGATGGACAGAACACAGTCTTTGGAGTCAGATGTAGGCTCTGTAATCAGCTTGCTGTGTGGCTTTAGGAAGAAAACAATTTCTCTGAGCCTCAGTCTTTATTCAGTGATTTCATTAATTTTCTCAGCTATTTATTGAGCATAGGCTATGTTCCAAGCACTGTTCTAGGCACAGCCATACAGTGCTGAACAAAATAAATATGGTTCTGGCTCTCAAGGAACCAACATTTTAGTGGGAGAAATGGATTAAACAGGAAATAGAGAACAAGGTACTTACTAGTGATCAATGGTGTGAATAAAACAAGGTGTTATGACGGTGAGGAACTGTAGGAGCGGGGCAGACATTAAATTGCAGATTGAGGCCTCTGGTTGAGCTTAGATAATATGAAGGAACCAGACATGTGAAAAGCTAGGACAGAGAAAACATCAAGTGCAAAGGCCCTGAGGTGACAGTAAGAGCATATGCAAAGGACAGAAAGAAGTTCAGCTTAGAGTGTGGTTAATAATTCATGTCTGAGAGTTGTAGTGGGGCCACATGATAAGATGAATTGAGAAAGTGCTTTGTAAACTCTAACTGCTGCTTTTGCTGTCAGTGATGATCATGTAACATATGTTTCAGGACCACTAGTGACACTGAACAAGCCACAGGGTCTGCCAGTGACAGGTAAGAGCAGGGGAAGGGGGATGTCTCTGAGGGAGGGAATAATGAAGAGAAGGGGATGATGGGGTAAAGTTGTCTCTGGGAGCAATTTGTATTTTTCCTTTTATTTTTTTTTCCCCCCAGGAAAACCAGGAGAGCTGACATTGCTCTCAGTGCTGCCAGAGCTGAGCCAGTCCCTGGGGCTTGGGGAGAGGGAGCTCCAGGTTGTCCGAGCATCTGGGAAGTAAGTGGTGGGGGTGATAGGAAGACAGGCATCCATCTGTGTGGTTAGGGAACAGTTGCTTGAAAATAAGCTGAGATATTTTCCACAGCTGGCTTGGGATCACAGAAATAGGATACAAAGTAAAGCAGGGAGCAGACAGATCTAGATTCAAACACTCATGCACAAACTGTGATCCTAGGCAAAGCATGAAATCTCACTGAACCTCAGTTCCCTTACTCATAAGATAGAGCTAATGATACCTATGCTGAGTATGTAGTCACTTCTCCAAGCCCATACCCAGGGCTTGGAGAGTTGGGAGTCGGGAGTTGATCCATGATAGTCTTTCCTCTTAACAGCCATCATTTAGAGATGGTACTTGAGATGAAATATTGCTGCAATTTCACAACTCATGGCTTTGTGGGGAATTTAATTATTTAAGAGCTAATATATATAAAATTCCTAGGACAGTGCCTGTTACATGAGAGACTCTGAGAAATTGGTAGTAATTGTTATGATGTTTGGCTCTGAGCTCCCTGGGGGCTAGGGCAAAATGAGAAACACACAGAGCTACATAGCATTATTATAAAACACAAGAAAGCTTTACTTGTTTCTCAGAAGGAGGTATGGGCTGTAGTCTGGTGTAATTGTTTGGCATTAAGCAGGTCAGTGTTCCTCCCTCTTTTGTGGATGAGCCCAAAGGACTTTAACTTTTGTCATTTGTTTCCTTCCTCCAGGGAGACCTCTGGGCTTGTACTCCTCTCCAGTTGTCCCCAAACAGCAAGCCGCCTCCAGAAGTTTTTCACCTACTCACAGAGAACCCAGAGACCCATAGCCACCTACTGGTGAGTGGTGCTGGGAGGCTCCCATGGCAGTGGGGAGGTCCCAACAAGCTACCCTCACCCCCTCCTGCCTCTTCCATAGGGCTGTCACTGATGGGATCCCAGCTCCTTCGGAGGGGAAGATCCAAGCAGCTCTGAAACTGGAACACATGGACGGCGTCGATCTCGTGAGTCAGGGTCTGGGTGGGTAAGGGGAGGAGACTCTCCAGACATATTCCCCCTACAGAGGAGTCAAGGGTATAGACTTGGGGTGGCTGACTCTCCTGTCCTCTAAAACAGGCAGGTGAGCACTGCCTATACTAAGGCCCTATCCTGAGTCTGTTGGGAGGGTTTGGGTATGTCTCCCAAGTATGTGTGAAGTTTGTTCATTCTCAGAGGCTGACACCACAGGTAGTTCCAGTGAAGCCCCCATCCCGAAAGGACATCCTGGAAGGTGTCAAGAGGACCCTCAGCCACTACCGAGTGGTGGCCACCGGCTCTGGCTGTGCCCTGGTCCAGCTGCAGCCATTGACAGGTGGGTCTGAAGCCCCACCCAGACTTTAGGACTGCATTTGGCTGGGGGAGGCAAGGGAGTGGGGAGAAAGGGTGATGAGTTAGAGGCAACCTGGGTATCATTTGATGGACCCCAAGGGTGTAATGTGACCCGGCCCAGCTGGAGGAGGCAGTGCTTCTGCTGTCAGTCTGATGGTCATTCCTTTGTAGCTCATTTACTTTTGTTCTTTGTTATTGATCTCAGGATCTTCTCTTTGCCTTTGGTGTTCTGTAGTATCACCATGATGAATCTGGTTGTGTGTATTTAGTTTTATTTATCTTGCTTAGGATTCACTGTGCTCCCTGGATCTGAAGATTAATATTTCTTCAAGCCTGGAAAGTGCTCTCTTCAAATGTTGCACCTCTTTCATTCTCTCTATTCTCTTTCTTTTGAATGCCTCATAGATAAGTCTGACCTTTTCATTGTACTCACTGTCTCTTAACTTTTCTTTCCTATTTTTCATTTCTTTATCTCTGCTGCATTCTGGGTGATTTCTTTAGATGTACCAGTTGAGTAATTTTCTCTTCAGTTGGATCTAATCTGCCAATTTAACCTATCCATTGACTATATTTTTCTCATATTATTTGTTCATTTTTGTCTTTAATCATTTAAAACATGCTTACTTGTATTTCCATAATTCTGTTGTCTGAAATTCCGGAGGGTCTGATCCTATTGTGTTTCCCGCTGACTCTCACACTTGGCGGGTTTTTTCCTTACTGTTCTGTGATTCAGCGTTGTGAATTCAGGTCGGGCTGGGCCTTTATTTGTGGAAATCCTTCATTACCTCATTGGAGGTGGGTCTTTGGGAGAGGCTCTGCCTTTGCTTCTGCCAAATGCCTTAGAGCTATCACTGCTTCAGGATCTCTCTAAATACTAGTGTCACAGTTGGAAGTTCACAGATTACTCAAGTAGAAGGAGAGCTCCAAACTTGTATGAGAGCAGGCTCGTGGTTGTGAATTCTCAGGGGGAAAACTTTCATTCCCTTCATCTGGTCCTAAAGTGAACATCTGCCTTCTTGGCTGACTGGCTTTTCCCCTTTCACTGAAGATGTAGCCCCTCTAGGGTTTCGTTTGGGCACCAAGACCTTCTCTGGCCTCTAGGGTAGCTACTCAAACCCAAGTCCCCTGGATATCAAGATTGGCAGCACAACTAGAATAGAAACGTTGGGTCTCAACATGCTCTGGATTTGTTTTCCCTTCGTGTTTTGGTCTTGGGGACCTTACTTTACTGTGTGCCCAGCTGTGTATTTAAAAGAATGATTGTCATATTTTCCCAGTGTTTCTAGATAGTTTCTAGCATGAGGGTTTTTAGATTATCCAGTCCACCATATTGCCAGACATGATGCAGAGGTACAGCTCATGGGTTTGAATCCCAATTTATGGAGGTGGGCAAGTCACTTCTTTTTAAGCTTTGGTTTTTCTCTCTGTAAAATGGAAATGATGCCTTGACCCATCTTACAGGGTTGTCATGAGTTTACATAGGTGAAACATTTTGTACCATGTCTAGCACATACCCCACCATTTCTGCATTTGTCAAGGTACTTTTAGTTGTGAGAGTCACAAAAAAACAGTTCAAATTGGTATAGGCCAAAAAGGGGAACTTACTGGCTCACATCATTGGCTGGATCCAGAGGCTCAGAGGATGTCACCAGGAAGCTGTTTCTCTGTTTATTCTTGCCTCTTGCCCATTGGCTTCTTTCTCCCACAGGCTCTTCCCTGGTGAAGGTAAAGATGGCCAGGAGCTCCAGCAGCTCCAGGTTTACACCTCACCCGTTTAGCACCTCAGCAGGAAAGAGTGTTCCTTATTCCCAGTAGCTTCAACAATAAATTCAGGGTTGCGTCTCTTCATGAGTGCATCCCACAGGCCAGGTGGATTGACAATGATGACTGTCCCAGTTTGGTCATGCGCCCTGCTTTGGGGGCAGGGACAGTGTCATCGACGTCACTAAAACCACCTGATTTAAGAAGGGGGGTGGTGTTTCCTCAGAGGCAAGCGGGAGACACAATACTGGGTGGGACAGAAAGAGCAGCTCCTCACCATCCGACTCGTCTTTCCTGTCTCCCAGTGTTCCCCAGTCAGCTGCAGGTACACATGGTACTACAGCTCTGCCCTGTGCTCGGGGACCACAAGTACTCCGCCCGCGTGAGCATCGTCCTGGGCCAGCGCTTTCTACTGCCAGCTGAGAGCACCAAGCCCCAAAGACAGGTACCCAAGCCCACCTGCCTCCTGCCGTCTAGGGGGTGGGGGGCCAGGATGGGCAGCACCTCCAGACATTGCCCATGTAGCTTGGGACTGGGAGGCAGTCCTCTTGGCTTCCAAGGCTATCTGTAGCCCTGTCTCGCTGTGTGGCCTTGCACGAATGACACCCCTCTCTTGAGCCTCATGCTGCCTATCCAATTGGGGAGTTGAACTGGCTGATTTCTAAAGGCCCTTCTAAGTCTGTCATTGAATCTATTTGGCATAAGGAGTAAAAGAGGTTGTGTGTATTAAGGTAACTCTATCTGTTCTGAAAGAGCAGCCCCAAAGTACCAGAGTCTTAACACATTAAATTTCCTCCATGTTAAGTCCAATTAATGGGATGGGGTAGAGGTGGACTTTGCTCCCGGCAGTCACTTAGTGACTCAGGCTGTTGCTATCAGTCAGCAGATAAAGGGGTACAGTGTGGGTTCATGCAGGAGGTTTTCATGGGCCAGGTCTGGAAGCAGCAGACATACTTGCATGTCCATTCTGTTGGCCAGAACTCAATAACATGGCCTCACCAAACTGCAAGAGGGGCTAGGAAAAGTAGTTTCTCTGTATGCCTAGACAGAAACTGATTTGGTGAACCCCTAGCCAGTCTCTGCCATGGTGTGAGTGTACATGAGTGTGTGAGTGTATGTATGTATGCGTGTACTATGTGTAGAAATGAAATAACTGCAGATGTGGAGGGAGGGAGGGAAGTACTTGCCTCCTATTTTGGTGAGAGCTGGTTGAGTCACCTGGTTGAATGCCGACATGCCTCTCCACTCCAGGTGCTGGATGAAGCCCTAATCAGACGCCTCCACCTGACACCTTCAGAGGCCGCCCAGCTGCCCTTGCACCTCCACCTGCACTGTCTCCGCCTCCCAGGCGCTAGGCCCAGGGACACCCCCGTCGAGCTTTTGGCACCCTTGCCCCCTTATTTCTCTAGGACCCTGCACTGCCTGGGGCTCCACCAACAATAGTCTTCCTTCTATTCCATTTCCACTGGAAAACAGTGGGTATCGGGGGACTATAGGCTGAGGAGATTAACCTAAGATCAAATCCTGGTTGGGCCACTTGCTGTGTGGTGCCAGACAAGTAACTTCACCTCTCTGGACTTGAGACAATAAAAGTACCTAACTCATAGTATGGGTTTGAGGATATGCTAGCAAGTAAATGTTTTATCATACACCATGCTTTGTGCTGAGTTCAGTGTGTGGTCTTTTATTTGGCTGTTTCTGTTCCAATTCTAGCTGGGAAAAAAAATCTTAGATTTTAAAAATTGTGGTAAAATACACCTAGCAAGATTTACCATCTTCACCATTTTTAAGTGTCCAGTTCAGTGGTATTATGTACATTCACATTGTTGCGCAACCATCTCACCATCCAACTCCAGAACCCATCACCTTGCAGAACTGAAACCCTGTGCCCATTAAATACTAAGTCCCCATTCCCCCTCCCCCAGCCCCTAGTGGTCACTACGCTCCTTTGTCTCTATGAATTTGACTACCCTAGGGAACCTTGTGTAAGTGAAGATGTTATATTTTTTTTACTTTAAAAAATTGAGATATTAAACATACAGGGTGCATAAAACACCTGTGATTTAAAGAATTATAAGGTGACATCCATATAACCATCATTCAGGGCATGAAATAGAAACATCCTCTCCTTTCTTGGACAGCAGCAATTCTCAACCCGGGCCCCACATGAGGACCCCTATCAAGAAGCTTTAAAAAATCCCCATGAAGCTACACCCCAAAGATACTGGCTTAATTGGTCTGGGGTGGAGAACCCTAGCATCAGTCTTTCAAAAGCTCCCAAAGGGGTTCTTTTGTTCAGTCTAGGATAGAACCACTGCTCTGATGAGATAATTCTTTCCTAGCTTGTCTTTTTAAGTTTTACCCCCTATATATTGCATCTCTAAATGATATATTTCATTTTGCCCAAAGTTTCTGTAAATGGAATCATGCTGTATATATTCTTTTGTTTGGCTCTTACTCCACTGAGAAGTGCATCTGTGTTGTATGGCGTGGAGTTTGAATTCCAGTACTTGAATATATCACAGTTTATCCATTCTACTGTTAATGGACAGGTCATTCAGCTGTTACCACAATGCTGCTGTGAACCTGCTTGTAAGCATTTCTTAGTTATTATGCAAGAATTTCTGGACCAGAGTTATATGCATCTTCATTTGACTAGTGGATTGGTCTTCTAGGGCTGCCATAGCAAATCAAGCTGAGTGACTTAAAACAATAGTCATTGTTTCTCTCACAGTTCTGGAGGCCAGAAGTCTGAAATCCAGGTTATCGACATGGCTGTGCTCTCTAAGGTTCTAGGGGAGAAACCTTCCTGGCCTCTTTCAGCTTTTGGTGGCTCCAAGCATTCCTTGGCTTGTGGCCGCATCACACCAGTCTCTGCCTCATCTTCACACAGCCTTCTCGTGTTTGTCTTCTCTGCTGCCTCTTATAAGGACACTTGCCATTGGATTTAGGGCTCACCTGGATAATCATCTCAAGGTCTTTACAAAATGTAATTATATCTACAATGAACCTTTCTCCAAATAGTCATTCCCAGGTTCCAGGTAGACCTATTTGGGGGTGGGGAGGTGGGGTAGGAGGAACCATTCAGCAACCCATTACAACTAGGAAATACCAAACTTTTTCAGATAGGTATGGCTTATTAGACATTTCCTTTTTAGGTGACCTCGGCCCCTTCCTGAGGGACAGACCCATTTCTTGTGGAAAAAGGCTGGGGTTTAGGTAAGGCCCACCCTTCCCTCTGTCTCATTGTAAATCTTGTGCCCATTAGATGTCATTCTGCTGTCAGCCCACCTTTTCCTCTGGTCTTGGGGATTAGGGGGACTCCCAGTAGTTGGCCATTCTGGCAATGTGTTCCAGCCTCCGGCCCAATGCCCTGTGATCTTGCACAAGCCATGTTTTCTCATTCAGACTGTTGCCTCTTCTGTAACGTGAGGCTGATCCCTCCACCCAAAGATCAGAAATGCCAGGGGAGTCCCTGCACAGGAAGCCCCATGTCTGCTGCAGGTGGGAATGCTGGGCCTTGCTTCATGGAGGACTTGCTGATGGCCTCTAATTCTCGTTCTGGACTTTGGGGTACAGAGCCCCCCCCCCTCCACACTCCAATAGAAATGGAGCCATGCCCAGAATAATTCACTTGCTCCTTTTTATTTGGCGCTGCATCCAGGATTGGGGCAATGAGGCCCGAAACAAGGGTTTCTCTAGCCTCATATCCCCCATGCCCCCCAACCCCTGGTGTGCATCAATAAGGAGCAGGGGTCCCGGAAGGCACAGTGTCTTCATGAGGCATGCCTCAACCTTGGGTCCGTCACGGAGTCTGGCCTTGAACTTGCCTTTGGCCTTGATCTTCCAATGGGAGCTAGGAAGATTTCCAACTTCAAAGGGCAGAGGCCACAAGGCACTTCCAGGATGGGAACCACAAAGGCACTGGGGAGCAACAGCCTCGATGTGAAAGGAGGGAAAAGGGGTAGAGATGATCAGGAATCTGTCCAGGAAGGGAATTGTGACTCCAGCCGCCCCCTGCCTGTGTCCTCCAGCCCTGACCCAAGTACTTAGGATGTGAATCACAGTTTGAGGCCCACCTTTCTTGATTTCAGGACGTCGGGCGCCTGCTTGAGCTCAGAGTTAGGCGGGAGAGAAATCAAAACCTTGGCGGTAGGTAGAAGCATCAAGGCCTTGCCTGTGATGGACAGGGCCTTAGAGCCCACCAGCTTGCTGTGCTGCAGTCTGAGGACCCGCCCCTGGGGTTGGAGCACATGGGGAGAAGGCAGCTGGGCCTTGGTGTGAAGGCTGGGAAAATGGTAAAGGGCTGTGGGAGCAAGAGAGGCTGTGAAGGCCTGGGAAGAGCCCAAGTCTAAGCAACTGCCCCTCAAGGTGTTTGTGGAGGGCCGGGAGGCAGGGGGACATGAAGGCTGGGGCATATGAGGGCAGATGGAGACCTCCCAGTTCCTCCTCCAGAGACCATGGGAAGGGTACAGGGTTTGGAGTCCAACAGACCTGGGTTTGCATCCCAGCTCTGCCCCTTCTGAGCTGTGCAACCTCAGACAACTTCCTTAAACTTCCTGATACCTCGGCTGGAAAATGGGGATAATAGCACCTACCTTGCTAGGTTGTGAGGATGAAAGGAGCTGGTTAGGTAGCAACACAGTGTAAACTGTTAAGTGCTGTGCAAATATTAATTCCTTTCCCCCAGAGGCAACTTTGTATGGAGGCAAAGGCAGAACACTGCGACAGGAAAGCTTGGGCTCTAGAGAGAGATCAACCTGGGATTGAGTCCAGGCATCTTTGAAATATAAGTAAACTGCCTCGCAGGGTGACTCCCTCAGAACGGACAATACTCTCTTGGTTGTGTATTTTTAAAAAATACTTTTTGCGTGGTGCCTTTTACTTGCTACCAGTGGCTCTTTGGTGGGGCTGTGGGTTGGTGGCAAATTCAGGTGCTTAGGAGGAGCTTGGAGAGTGGAAAGAAATTGCCCTGGGACCTTGGGGTGTTTGGGGAGAATGGTCTTATCCAGGGCCTGGGGATTCTTCAGACTCAGTGGCAATCTATTCAAGGAGTGGGGTTTTTTGTCCCCACTAGCAAAGGTCATAGTGAAAACACAGCCCATCCTGGAGCTGGAGGGGTCCCACTTCTGGATATTGGGGTAGATCAGAGCTGTAGCACTTTTTGCCTTGCCTTTCTCCCCCTTTCCAGGGGCCGCAGTGGTGGCAGTAGAGTCTGGCTTCTCAGTGTGCCCCAGGCCCCTGGCATCAGGAACTTTCCTAGAAGCTGAGCTGTTGGCAGGGGCCCCCACGTCCTTGCCTTCCCCAGATCCTTGCTGGGTCAGGTGAGGGAGTGCTGTGCGGACCCCTGTTCGCCGGTGACACACCGCCATGGGCTTCTTGATGGTAGAGCCCTCTACTAGGAGCCGGATACCCACATACTGGGGCACTTCCACGGCAGGCTATGAGGAAGAAAAAGAAACAAGGCCTGCTCAGACAGTGCTGCTGGAATCCTAGCCCCGGAAGGACTCGGCAGAGATGAAGGGAATTAGTTTCCGGGGAAGTTAATCAGGAGACATTTCTGGGCTGAGAAACGGGAAGCCTACCTCTGTCTTCTAAAGAGTCTGGCCCTGGAGGCCTGAGTCAGACCCTAGAGAGTCACTGAGCCCCTGGGATTAGTAACCCAGAGCAGTGCCTCCACTAGCACCTCTCCACCTCCTTACTCTCCTAAACTGCCCTGGCTCCTGCCCAAATATGTGTGGCGCTACTCCATAGGCCATCGCCAATGAAAAGCTCCCTGAGTTGAGCTGGATTCTCTGCAGAGAGAATTTGAAGTTATGACACCCAGCCAGATAAGATACTGGGAAACTGCCTAGAGCCTCATGTGAAGCCAAGTTATGGGGAAGCAGAAACTAAGAGCCTTAAAGAAGGCATTCTGTGGAGGGGATGAAATAGCAAATATGCAAAGGCAGGCAGATTAATTGCTCCTGTGCAACTGTAAGTTCCTATAAAGCCGAGCTGTACTTCCTGCAGCTAGGCTCCAGGAGAGCCCCTTGTGTCTTGCTAAAAGCCCTTCTTTCAACCTGGAGCTACTTCGAGGTGTTTTCTTTGTCATCAAATGATCCTGATTAGAACCTATCAAAACAGGGTCACTTGAAGCTTGTTAAAAACCCAGATATCAGAGCTCCTGGAAAACCCAGTGGATGAGGAAAAGCTCATCTTTACAGTATCTCAGCTAATAAATGTAGAAGGAAAGACAGAATTAGAAACTTAACATTTTGCAACTCTAATACAATAGGCAAGAACGAAAACTGGATATCAAAACAAGTAGGTGAAAAGGATGACAGGAAAATGTGTCATTTGCACATGACCAAAATATCACCTTACAAAGTAACTGATCATTGCAAACGGGAGGATGCAGCTTTCAAAGGAGAGGTCTGGTAACTGCCACCTTAACCCATGGTCAGGCTTAGCATCACTAATTGCGAGAGACTCCAACAGTGCGTGCCTTTGATGCTATATGAGATACCCAGCATCACTTCTCACGTGGTCTTGCCAAAAATGTTTAACCTGAAGCTCATCAAGCTGTTTGACCTACCTTCTAGTTTACAGGACATTCAGATAGATAACAGAAGAACAAGTTAGAAACCACCCTGAGGAAACAATCAGATAAATCCAAAATGTGGGACAGTTCTACATAACAATCAGGCTGGTTCCTTCAAAAAGATCTAAACTTGGTGTGGGGGAGGGGGGAAAGCTGTGGGACTGTTCTAGATTAAAAGATTAAAGAGCATCAAAAAGAATCAAATACCTAAGAATAAATTTAACTAAGGAAGTGAAAGACCTGTACACTGAAAACTGATGAAAGAAATGGAAGACACAAATAAACGGAAAGGTATTTTGTGCTCATGGATTGGAAGAATTAATATTTTTTAAATGTCCATACTACCCAAAGCAATCTACAGATTCAATGCAATCCCTAGCAAAATACCAAGGGCATTTTTCACAGAACTAGAAAAGAAATCCTAAAATGTGTATGGAGCCATAAAAGACCCCAATTAGCCAAAGCAATCTTAAGAACAAAGCTGGAGGCATCATGCTTCCTGATTTTAAACTATATTACAAAGCTATAGGAAAAGATGTTCAACATCATTAGTCATCCGTGAAATGCAAATCGAAACCTCAATGGGATATCACTTCACACCTGTTAGAATGGCTGTTATCAAAAAGACAAGAACTATTGTAAAAAGTATTGGTGAGGATTTGGAGAAAAAGGAATCCTTGTGCACTGTTGGTAAGAATGTAGGGCAGCTGGGTGGCTCAGTTGGTTAAGAGCATGAGCTCTGAGCAGCAGAGTTGCTGGTTCAATTTCCACATGAGTCAGTGAGCTGCGCCAGAGCTAAGCTGCCGCTGACCTGCCAATGGGCAGCCAGATGACTCAGTTGGTTAGAGTGCATGGTCTTAACAACAAGGTTGCCAGTTCGACTCCCGCATGGGATGGTGGGCTGCGCTCCCTGCAACTAAGGTTGAGCACTGGCACCTTGAGCTGAGTTGCTGCCTGAACTGCCAAAGGGCTGCTAGATGGCTCAGTTGGTTAGAGTACGACTGGACTTGGAGCTGAGCTGCACCCTCCACAACTAAGATTGAAGGACAACAACTTGACTTGGAGTTGATGGGTCCTGGAAAAACACAATGTTCCCTTCCCCAATTCCCCAATAAAATCTTTAAAAAAAAAAGAATGTAAATTAGTGCAGGCACTATGGAAAACACTGTGGAAGTCCCTCAAAAAAATTTAAAATAGGGGGCCGGCCGAGTGGCTCAGTTGGTTAAGAGCTTGCTCAAGAGTGCGAGCTCTGAACAACAGCAGTTCGAGTCCCGGCCCAAGCTGAGCAGCCGCTGAGCTGCCAACAGGTGGCAGGATGGCTCAGCTAAAAAAAAAAAAAAAATTTAAAATAGAACTACCATATGATCCAGTAATTTCGCTTATGGGTATTTATTCAAAGGAAGCAAAACTGCTAACTCAAAAAAAATATATGAACCCCAGTGTTTATGGCAGCATTACTTACAATAGCCAAGACATGGAAAAAAAAAAAGTGATATATTCAGCCATAAAAAGAAGGGAATCTTGCCATTTGTGACAACATGAATGGACCTTGAGAGCATTATACTACGTGAAATAAGTCAGACAGAGAAAGACAAATACCATATAATTTCACTTATATGTGAGATCTTAGGAAAACAAAACTACTGAACTCACAGATACAGAAAACAGATTGTTGGTTGCCAGAGGCAGGAGGGTGGTGTGGGGGTGTGAGGGGGGAGGTGAAATGGGTGAAGGGAGTCAAAAGGTTTAAACTTCTAGTTATACAATAAATAAGTCCTGGGGATGTAATGTATAGCATGGTGACTATAGTTAATACTGTATGGTATATTTGAAAGTTGTTAAGAGACTAGGTCTTAAAAGTTCTCATGACAAGAAAAACAATTTTGTTAACTACATATGGTGATGGATGATTAACTAGACTTATCGTGGTGATCATTTCACAATATATACAAATATCAAATCATTATATTGTACACCTGAAGTTAATATAATGTTATGTCGATTATATCTCAATAAAAAACCAACAACCCCACAACAAAATTTCAGAGAGATCTAAGTCATGCCTGATAGGCCCTTTAAAATATGCAGTTACAAATCTTCTAAGCATCCCAAGGGCATACCTGTAGGTCTTATGTTTCAGTCTTTAACACATTTTGAGTTTAGCTGAGAGGCCCTCTTTGCTATAATAACTAACAGCAGGGCTTCTATAATTTTGAGGGCTATTGTTCTATAGCAGCCTCACAAAAGAGAGAAGAGCTCTAAGATTTGTGGACATGGCTTTTGTGCAATAGGATGGGTTACAAATTGACATATAAGAAACCCACAAGGTTTTAAAAATATCTACTTGGACTGAAAGGGACAGCTGCAATATGAAATGAAAGAGGCTTTTGTACCCCCAAATTTCCATAAGCAGGTAACAGACTAATAACTATTGGGAATCTTCATGGAAAAGGAAGGATGATTCTGGACGAACTGAGATCCCAATGGATGGAAGCAAGAGCCATGGAAAACTCCTAGTAAGTAACAATGAGTCATAATAGCAAAACTAGAAATATATGCTATGCTGGATTTCAGAATTGCTATGGACCAATGATTCCTGTGTACTTACTACCCTGCCTCTCCTTTTTGGGTGGCAGTGTCTATAAAAAAAAAGAGAGAGAAAGATTAAAGAGACAAAACAACCAATGCAAAGTGTGAATCTTGCTTACATGTTGGTTTAAAAAACAAAAACAAAAAAAGTCAGCTATAGAAGATATTGGGGACAACTAGGACATTTCAACAATGCCAAATGCATAGCCCCTAAGCCAGACATTTCGGCTCAATCTCTGGGGGGTGGGACTTCCTGAGATCAGTATCTTTGGAAAGCTTTCCAGGCAATTCTGGCCTGTGAACCAGCATCTGGGGACCACTATGCTACTATAGGACGGTCCCTTTCCTCTTGGTTTTATCTTATGTTTTTGCCCTTATATTTCCTCATTTATATTCTTCGAAACCAAAATGCCAATATATTAATTTATGATCAGTAACTGTGAAAAAGACCAGGACACTTGGGCTGTGTGATCAGCATGTTCTCTCCCTGTGGCCAAACTTTGATGGATGCCAAATCCTAATCAGAAGTAATTTAACTGCTACAAGAAATTACTTGCAGAGCTCCTAAACCCTTGAAATCGTTTTTCTGACTGATTTTTAAAAATCTTATTCTATTCCAATAAGTGGAATCAATCTCTGTTTGGAACAAGGTGAGTAAAATAATTACAATATAAGTAAAATAACAACAACAACAACAATAATAATAATATAGCAGTAGATTCCACTAACACTGTTATTATGTGTCCAGGCACTTTACGCGTGATGCTGTTAATCATGAAACGCTTAACAAACTTATTAGGTAACAGAAACAATAGTTAAAACCTGTGCAGCATTTACTGTGTACCAGGCACTGTTCTAACATGCTTTACCTATATCAACTCATTTAATTCTCACAGCCTTATGAGGTAGGTACTGTTTTCATTCGTGCTTTACAGATGAGGAAACCGAGACCCCCTAGAGATTAGGAAGTTGTTCAAAGTCACACAGCTTGTAGTTACTGAGCAGAGATTTGGACCCAGGGAGGTTCAGGAAGCTATGCCTTTAACACTATGCTATACACCTCTCTAGAAATATTACCCACACGTGTTAACTCATGTCATCCTCCCAAACCCCATGAGGATGGTAGTAGCATCTCCATCTTACAGATGAGGAAGCGGATGCACTAAGTCACTGTGACTGGCAGGACCAGGATTTGAACTGGGGCTGACTGACAGCAGTGCCCTGTGCTTCACTACGGGGCAGCCGGGAAGAGAAGGAAGACTCCCTGGGCTCCTTCTTGGCCCTGGCCACCTCACCTGCTTGTAGATGAGCTCGAAGGCTCCCGTGTCACAGTTGCGGTCCAGCCGCCAGTCGATGACCACACGCAGGGTGTCAGCTTGCACATCGGCACAGAGCCGCGCGGTGACAGATGTGGAGGGCGCCATGGTGGGGCTGGCATTGATTTCTATCAGCCAGGGCTGGAAGTCTTCACCAAACACAAAGTCAGCACCATAGAGCTCAAAGCTGGCCTTCCGACACTGCACGGTGTCCTGGGAGGTCTGCAGAGCATGGATCACTGCGGCCTTCATGCCAGGCACGATGATGGTGGACCAAGCATTCGGGGCCCCCATGTCCTGCAGGTGGGCCTGGAACTTCTGGCTTGACCACATGTTGTCTGAGGGCAGCAGCGGGTGCCGATGGCATGAATTCTCCAGGTGCTTCTGGATGGAGTTGTTACACAGGTGCACAGAGCTGAGGCAGAGAGCAGAAAGCTGGGGAGGGCAGGCAAGCCCTGGAACCAGCCCTGGGCCACCCTGGACCATTCAACTTGAGATGGGCCCCTAATGAGGGGACAAAGGCCTGAAGCCCATCGCATTCTTCAAGGGCCAGAACTAGTCTAATCTCTCAGGACCTTTTCTGAGGGCACTAACTGTGGAGGACACGGTATCAAGTGCTTTGTGCAGAGTGTCATCAACCATCCCAGTGCCTAGAGATAAGAAGGTGGGTAAGAGTATGGGCCCTCTAGTCACCAAGACATGTGTTCAAGTCCTATCTTCACCACTGACCAGTTGTGAGATCTTAGGCAAGTCATTTAACCCGAGTGCTCCTTTCACATCTGTAAAATGGGGTTAGTTACAGTACCCACTTCACTGGGTTTTCATGAATGACTAATATTCATAAAATGCTTAGCCCCTATCACATACAAAGCACTCAATAATTAACAGCTATAATTATGAGTTTCACATTGCTGCCTCCAGTCATGGGAACTAAAGGTTTAGTAGGTTTTCACTTGACCAATGTCACACAGCTTGAAAGCTGCAGAGATGAAACTTGAACCCGGGATTCAACAAGGCTTCCTCTCACCCCATATGTTAGTGTTGCAACTGGCCTCTCTTCTTTTAAATTTCTCCTGGCCCCCCTCCCCCCTGCTCTACATACTTTTTCTCATATCACCTTATAACCTACTAGATGATTTTACTTATTATGTCCATTGTTTGTCTGTTCTCCCTCCTAGAACTTGAACTCTTGAGAGCCGGGCTCTTATTTTGTTCACTGCTGTGTCCCCTATGCCTACAACAGAGAAAGGCACAGGGCACATACTCAGTAGGTATATGCTGGATGGAAGGATGGTTGGATGGATGGGGGGCCTGCCTGCCTGCTGAGTCTGTGCTTGGAGCCCAGCATTGCACTGAAATTGCCTGTTCCTTGTCAGCTCCCCAACTAGACTGGGAGCTCATGGGAGGTGAGTGGTGGGGCTCACTTGTCCAGGTTCTTCAGGGAGAAGGGCTGTGTGGAGAACCGGATGTAGCTGTCACGGTAGAACCACACAGTAAGTGGGTTCCAGTCGGTCACCAGGAACCACTGTCTCAGGTCAAACTTGGTGCCAAAGATGAGCAGGGGCCGCTCAATATACTTCTGCACCACCCACTTGCCATCCTTCATCATCACGGGGTTGCCCTCCACCAGCTTCAGCATCTCCTCCAGGTGGTCCATGCACATGATGCCTAAGGGGGAAACGGGGTGGTCAGGGATCAGGGCAGGTTCCAGCTGGAAAAAGGGCTAGGGACCATGGACAGCTCATCATAAGCTCTCCTCCCCACAGAACTGATAGGGCCAAGTGGGTAAGGCTGCCTGCCTCAGTATACAATAAAGAACACATCTCCTTTCCCAGAGGCAGCCAACTGTGGATATCCTTCCAGGTTGTGGTAGAGTCTACATGGGCCTCAATTTCATAGAATTCTATACATTTAAACACATTTAAGGATTTAGAATAGTGTTTGGCATATGGTGAGCATTCAATAAATGTTAACTCATATCATTATTATCAGTTACCTATAGAGTAAATTTCTAGCCATAGATTTGCTGGCTCCAGGGGTATGTGCATTTTTTCATTTTATATTACCAGCAGGAATGTATGAGATTGTGTCTGCCCACAGTCTACCCAACACTGTTGATTATTTATTTTTGCCATTCTCCTGGGTAGAAAATGGTACCTTATTTTAATTTTCTCTCTTTTATAACTTGTCAAGTAAGTATTTATGCTTATAAGTCATCATCAGTTCAATGCTGATAGATATCAGACTCACATTGCAAACCAAACATACGCACTCACAAATCAACCTCATTCTTTCTTTGTTTGGCCCCCAAAACAGCCTGATCGCCTGCCAATGGCACGGAATAACTTATGGCTGGTTCCCAAGCCAGATGCTTCCTCACATGGCCAGCCTGATCACTAAGATTCCCAAGAACACGATGCCTTGCGTAAAAAAAATTAAGACTGTTTGTGCCCTTTAACCCAGCAGTTTTATTTCTAAGAATGTATCCTAAGGAAATAAATGCCACAAGACATCTGAACAGGATGTTTGCTCATCATAGTGGTGCTTGGAAGAGCAATCAATATACAAATGAACAGAAAAAAAATACTAGCAGCCATCTAAATACCCCTCAGAAAAGGATTGGGCAAGTCCATGACAGTTCATCTAAACAAGATTAGACTATGCAGCTGTAAAACAGAATCAGGTAAAAGTTTATGCTATACTTTTATATAACATTCACCAACAGGCAACACTAATCTATGGTATTATAAATCAGAATAGGGGCCACGCTTGTGGGGAGGTAGAGACTGGGAGGAGGTGTGGGAAGGGGCCCTTTAGGGGCAGGTAATGTTTTCTTTCACCATCTGAGTGCTGTTTCTGCAAGTGTGTTCACTTTGTGACAATTCATTGATTTGTACACCCACAATGTGTACCCTTTTCAATGAGGTAAGTTATATATACATTTCAATTAAGTTTTTCTAAAAATGGAGAGCAAATATTGAAATTTGGTACTTGGTACATGGGGAGTCCTTGTGTGATTCTCTTTTGTTGATGTATTTTAAAAGTATCCATATAATAAGCTAAAACCAACAACAAAAAAAGCATATTTAGATGTACTGAAATGGAGTGATCTCCAAGATCTATTGTTAAAAGAAAAATACAGGGCCGGCCGAGTGGCTCAGTTGGTTAAAAGTTAGCTTAAGAGCACGAGCTCTGAGCAACAGGGCCACCAGTTTGATTCCCACATGGGCCAGTGACGCTGTGCCCGAGCTGAGCTGCTGCTGAGCTGCCAACAGGTGGCAGGATGGCTCAGCTGGTGAGAGCACGTGCTCCTAAAAACAAGATTGCCTGTTCAATGGTGGGCTATGCCTGCCCGCAAATAAGACTGAACTTGGCACCTTGAGCTGAGCTGCAGCCCACATGGCTCAGTGGATAGAGCATACGCTCTTAACAACAAGGCTGCCAGTTTGACTCCCGCATGGGATGGTGGCTACGCCCACCCGCAACTAAGATTGAACACAGCACCTTGAGCTTAGAGGCCACAATCTGCCAACGGGCAGCCAGATGGCGACTGGTGCCCTCCACAACTAAGACTGAAGAACAACAACTTGGCTGGTCCCCCTTCCCAATTCCCCAACGCTGTTCCCCTCCCCCAACTCCCCAATTAAGAAAGAAAGAAAGAAAGAAAAAGAAAGAAAGAAAAGAATAAATGAATAATACTAACTGGTATCAAAAGGTGTCATGAAAAAAGGACGCTACAGAATAGTGTTTTGTTTAAAATAAATCTCTCTCTCTCCAAATACATAGAAGGAAGTGTAGAAAGAAATGCACCAAATGTTAACAGTAGTTATCTCAGTGAAATCAAAAGAGGCTATTGCTTTCTTCTTTCTACTTTCCTATATTGCCTGATCTTTTTGTTTAGTATAATAAATACATATTTTCATACTTGGAAAACCCAACAAAACTATTTCCAAGTTAGAAAAAGAAAAGACCACAATGTTGGTTTTGAAGTGACATCCCCCAGAGGAGTGTCTGGAACTGTGACAGCTTCCCTTGGACATGAGCATGTTCACCCAAGGGCAATATTTGGAGGGATCTGCCAAAAGTCTGTTTTTTACATTTCGGGAGTCCTTAATCAGATTTTAGAGGCTGGGCTAACTCACCACCCCAGCTTGCTGGCTCTCCTGTTCAGATTTCATTCACATTGGGCTGAGCAGCCAGAATAATAGCTGAAAATAATAGCACTTATATTGCAGTTACTATGTAAAAAAGCACAGGATCTAAGTACTCTACAGATATTATATTCATCTAATTGACTTCATTTTACCAATAATGAAAATGAGGCACAGAGAGGTTAACTAACCTACCCAAAGTTTTACAAATAGTAGGAGGCAGAGCTTGGGTTTGAACCCAGGCACTCTGGCTCCCAGCATCCATACCCTTAACCACTATGCTATACCTCACAAAGATGCACCAGTCAGATCCGAGAGCCCTTTAGATGACAAGCATCGGCACATGAATATCACCAGACCTACCAAAAGCATCAATCCAACTCTGAGGGCAGGAGAGGAGACACTGGCATCATCACAGCAGCCAACATTTATGGGGGATTACTCTGTGCAGGCACCATGCTGAGCCTTAAGACACACTACCTCATTTCATCCTCACCTCATAGGAAGTATTATCATCCCTCATAGATGAGGGAACTGAGGTGCAGAGAGGTGATAAAACTTGCTCAAGGTCACACAGCATATTGGTTGCAGAGCTGGGATTCAAACCCGGACAGTTTGGCTCCAACAAAGCCTGAACTATTAACATTCCTGGCCTCTAGCTGGGGAGGCAGGATGTAGGGTGCTGGTGCAGGAAGCAGGGGCTGACCCCCACCTCGGCCACGGGACTTGGCTCCCGGCTTCACGATCCAGACGTTGCGATCTCCTTCCATGTCCATCTGGGGCACCACGGCCTGCAGCCGCTGCAGGATGTCCTCACAGCGTGGGACTTGTGTGTCGAGGTGCCTGAGTTCTGCCCCCTCGCTGTGGGGAGATGATGGGTCTTGGGCAGGGTTGGGCTTGGGGACAGCCTGGTGGACAAGGCAAAGGGAGACACAAGCCCCCTGGCCATGGTCCAACCAGTCTTGGTCGTGCCATCCCCACCCTAGAGATCGAGATAGGTCTCTTCCAAACCTCCATCCCCATCCGCACGCTGCCCCCCAAATTCTAATCTGCCCAGGTCACCATCCAGGCTGCTGGAATAAGAGAGGATGGGAAAATTCAACTTATTAGACCGCCCTCCCCTCCCCACCCCACCCCCACCCCCACTTCAACACTCCATGTTCTGCCACCACCCTTCCCATTACAATAAAATTGCCTTTGGCAGAATTTAATCATACTGCATCGAATGATGAGGCACCACTATGTGCCAAGGGCTTTACATGTATTATTAATCCTCTGTATGGCCCCACAAGGAAGATATTACTAGTCCCATTTTGGAGCAGTGTAAACTGAAGCCTGGAGAGTTAAGACTGGTCCAAGGCCACAAATTGAGTTAAGTGGCTGAGCCAGGATACAAACTCCATCCTGAAGGGATTCCTCCACCCACAGGTGCTTTTTCGGGGTTCATTCTTCTCATCTGGACCTAACACTGGTTGATAGGCAAGTCCCTTCTTAGTCTAATTCTTTTCAAGCACATATGGGTCATCCGTCTCCTTGCTTTATTTCTCTTCCCATATAACCTACGCTTATTCGGTTAGTGTCTGTCTGTCTCCCCTCACTGGAAATGTAAACTCCATAAGAGCAGGAACATTTTTGTTGCTGTTACTCTCTGTTGTGTTCCCATCCCCAAGCACCATACCTGGCACTTATTTGGCACTCCTTAAAAGTTTGTTAAATGAATGAATGGCTGGATAAGCAAGTCTTTTGGCAGGAGCATGGTTCTGCAACTGGTCTGCACAGATAGGGGTTCATGGACAAAGAGAGACCCTGTTCCCTACAGGACACAAAATGTTCTGAACTAAATCAAGTCACAAAATACCCCAGATGGTTGCCTCATCTAAACTCTCCCATTTCTTCTGACTGAAGAGAAAGGAAGCCTCCCCTAGCTGCTAACCTCTCTTTAACACCGTAGCCTCTTGAATGTCTCCAGCCATGGAGAACTTACCTCTCTTTTAATAAGGAGGCAACCGCAGCCACTGGGAAGGGCCAGGAACAGGAACAGCTAGAGGGAGAGGGCTTGGCATGGCCTCTTATTCACACCTAAGTCCTGACTCTCCTATCTCCAGGTTTGCTGGAAACTTTTCCATGGGCCATGGCACAAAGAATCTGCTCAGTAAATCTGTGATTTGGCCCAGGAAAGTGTCACATGGGCGTTGCAGGGGTACATGTAATTTGAAAAAGTATATTCAACATGACAATATGATTTTATATTTCACAAAAAGAAAAAACAACCATGTGTCTATGGAAAGTCAACCTTGATAAAAGCCTGGCTGCTGAGTCACGGATTTATTTTTAAAAGTTGAGGAACATAGGAATCAATATTGAATGAATTAATGAATGCTAACTATCTGTACTGAACAACTCAACATCATATATTCATATATATATATATATATACACACACACACACACACACATATATGTGTGTGTATATATATATATATATATATATATATATATACACATATATACATATATATAGAGACAGAGACAGAGAGAGAGAAATTTTATGAACTCCCAACTGCTAAGAGGTTCATCTAGCACTCTAGAACTTGCCCCACACCTGGAAATAAATAGGACTCACGTTCTTTTCACCTAATGTTCTAACTTAGTCTTGATAATTCTTAGTTTAAGAAGGGTCACTTTACATATTCTGGTAGCTAAGGGAAAGTGTAGGGTCCTTTTTCATTTTCTGACATTTTAAAAGATGGAAATGAATTATTTATCAATGACACGGGTTTGCTCAGTATGTCATTCGTTCAAAGCTGATTTATTAGTCCTTCAGTCTCCCCTATCAAATCACTGAATCTGTTCAATCCTATTCTATTACCACCACCCCAGCTGAGACCCTCAGCACTCCCTCCTAGCTTGCTTCAAGCCTCCCCAGCTGAGCTTTGTGTCCTTTGAGGGCAGAGACTATGTGTCCTTTCTGGAGCCTGGGACAATGTGTGGCACACAGGAAGGGCTCAATAAATGCTGAGTGTTCTCCAGCCTTTAGGGCCCTTCTCCCTCAAGTCTCTCGGACACACCTCTGCTGAATGGAATCTCCCAGGACAGCTCCAGTCTCACCTTGACAATCCTTTCCTCTCAAAGACCTTTTCCCAAAGTGTGTTCTGAAAACACAACGCCTAAGGGTGCTTGGGGATGCTGGGGTCACATAAGTACAGGATAGTCAGTAAGTCCTCACTTAACATTGTCTATAGGTTCTGCAACTACTAAGTGAAACGATGTAAAACAAACCCAATTTTACCAAAGGCTAATTAACATATACAAGAGCTAAGTTCCTACAGTACCTCATCAATGTTGCTGTATTGTACACTCTGTCTCTCTCGGGGGTTTATACTATCAATAGAGTCAGAAAAGCCCTGACACTTCCCAAGGAAACCTGTTTGAATTAAATTTGTTTAACTAAATGTTTTCCAAATGCGATTAACCAAAGAAGCCCCACCCTCCCTTTTTTACCACAAAATTGATTTACATCCTGTAGAACTACTATCCTATGTAACACACTTTGGGAAACACTGGCCTCTAGGATAAAATCTAAATGACTTAATAGATTGTTATTTTGTGAGTTAATACTAAGAGTCTGTGCTGTTTAATCCTACCTTTGAGGTAGACATTATTTTTAAACCTAGTTTTCATTTGAGAAAAGTAAACCTCAGAAAGATTGGTGACATTCCCAAGGTCACAGAGCTTGGAAGTTGCAAAACCAAGACAAACTCAGGTCTATCTGACAAGCACGAGCCATGATCTTTGTGACTATGCTATGCCAAGATCCAGGAAGAATAGTTTACACACCATGATGAAGGCAGTTGGAGCCCTTGAGGGTTCTTGAGCAGGAGAGTAATAACAGGGTGAACAAAAGGGGGTTAGGGAGGAGGTGGAGGCTGCACTAAACATAGAAGGTCTGTCCCTGAGCATTAGCTCAGAACATGGAAGCTCCCTGAGAGCAAGAGGTACCGGCCCATGCCCCAGCTGCAGGGGTACTCACTGGACTACTTGGTAGTAGCGCTGGAGGAAGAGGGACCAGCCCTCAGGGCTGAGGTACAGCGGGGCCTCCAGGTCCTTGTCAATGTCCAGGTGGGCCAAGTTGCTAAGGTGCTCCTCGCAGGCGCACAGAGCTTCATCCACGAACTCTGGGGATATCATCACCGACTTTTTCTCCTGTTTCTTGGGTTGCTTGTCTCCTGCAGAGGTAGGGAGGGGCCTGTCACTACCTGACAGGTAACCTGACATATACCACAGCCCCCACTGCTCCAAGGCCAGTCACTTACCTGAATCCCCATAAATACACCTGAGGCCCAGCCCATACCTGCATCTCCTACTCCCCACTGCCCTGAGACCTGTCACTTACCTGAAGCTTTGTTCTAAATTCACCTGAGACCCTAGTGCTCACCTTTAGCTCCTACTGTCCCAGAACCTGTCACTCACTTGAGGGTCCACCCTAAATGTCCCCAGAGCCTCTCAGCACCAATAGCCCCAGACACACCTGCAGCCTCCCTGCTCCTGGGACCTCTGACACACCTGAGATCCTTGTGCCTCTAATCCTAGCACACTATGGTCTTCTTTGCACTTGACACACCCAGGGACAGGAATGGGGAGGTTTCCCTCTGGAAGACACAGGGATTTCCCACCTCCCAGTAGAGCTGCCCCTTTTGTCCCTGAATCCCTGGCTGATAGACCCCTGGATTATAGGATGGGGGCTTTGAGGTAGGAGCTAAGTCCAGAGAGAAAAATGGCAATCAACAGGTTGAGCCAACATGCAATGTGGGATTCTCTGTGTCCCCCTCCACAAAGCACAAGGGGTCTTCAGACCATGTAAAACTATATGGCTTCACTGTTTCCTCCTCCACAGAGACCTGAGCTCCCCACAGGCAGGACTGCATCTTCTTAGTTTGTCCTCTCTAGAGAGTTTGGCCATATTCCAGGCCCATGGGAGGGCAGAATGAGGAAGTGGATTGACTAACAAATGGATAGGACAACAGGTAGGTGGGTGTTTGGGATAGAAGAATGGATTGAGTGAATGGACTGGAGAATAGACAGGCGGTGGATAGGAGGATGGAAAAGCAGGTGGATAGATGGGGTATATGGAAGGATATGTAGGAAGGTGGAGGAGTAGATTGATGGATAGGCAGCGTGGGCGTGGAGCTGAGAAAGCAGTTAAATGAGTACATCGATAGTAAGAAGATAAGTGGGGAAATAGATGGATGATTGGGTGGATGAATAGGTAAATGTGAGATCGGTGGGTTATGTGGGTGAGTAGGTAGGTAGATGGACAGATGAGTAGATGAATGGGAGGACAGATGGGTGGGTAAATGTATGGATGAGTTGGCGGGAAGGGGTGGTGGATGGACAGATGGAAGTGGATAATATACAGATATGTGGATGAATAATGAATGAATGGCTGGATGGATAGGTGGGTGGGAGAATAAATGGGTGGGGGACTGGAGGTAACCACAGTACTTACCTGGGGCCTCTTTCTCTTCTGCCTGGATAGAGTGTGACTTCCATTCAGATTTTACCACCAGCTTGAGAACGTTGCGGGCAGCTGTCAGCCAGAAGTCCTCTGCTCCCAGGGCAGGGGATACCCTGCTCAGCCCCTAGGCTCCAGGACTGTTCTGGTTCCAGAACCTGATCATGACCTGTCCCCATTGTGGATCCAGAACCTACCTTCTGACCAGAACCTGCCTCCTGTTTCAACTATAGAATCAGACCCAGAAGCTGATCTGACTTGACTCATATTCTGCCTTCAGAATCTCACTTAGACC